GGTTTGGGTTATTTGTGAGGGAATATGGGCAGGAATGAGTGGCTAGTGGTGGGTCAGGGTTTTGGCTCTTTGTGGGTGTTTATGTTGGGATTGTGAAGTGTATTTTGGCCAGGGGTGAATGGAATAGAGGGTGGGTTTTATTTGTTGAATAAAAGGCTTAAAAGAAGGAAAATAACAACAAACAAAAGGTTTTATTTTATACAACATTATTTTCGGCCAAGGGCTAAAATAAGTGTAGGAAAACTTTTATTTTGAAAGGAATTAAATGGAAAGGAGTTTTGGATGTTTAGGGTGGGGTTTGGCGGAGTGGGAGTTGGTTGGCAGAACCCTTAGGTCCGAAGTTATTTTTGGCCTCTCGGGTTGAAGGACTTTGAATTCTTACTAAAATGGATCATAATGTTTGAACGTAAGTCCTTTGGTTTTTATGATGGTGTGGGACATGGGGGAGGGTATGATAGGGCCAGGCCCGGATATAACAAAGAGTATCTCATATTCTCACATTATGGAAGGAACTTCTCGAACACTTCCTTACACCATAAGATTCGTTGGTCTACTTGGTAGTCATTCTCTTGGTAGAAATCCAAAGTTTATGGCTAATATGGTAGATTTGGAAAGGGAATTGGTAAGGCGAAGAATTAGTCTTGCTTATGGAGGAGGCAACGTTGGCCTACAAGGAGCTGTTGCTTCAACAGTTTTTACCAATAGTGGTCTCGTTAGAGGTTTCATTCTGGGGTACATAGCAACACGACGTGTCTATGGACCTACGTACGGTGTAGAGCATACAGTTTCCAGCAACTATTACAAATATTTTGAGATGAATCATGCCGTGGAAGCTTTCATCATTCTTCCCGGAGGAGTTGACACTATGGAAGGTTTGTTCACCTTGATCTCGTGGGTTTCTGAAGGGTTACACAATCGACCCATTGGTCTCTTGAACATCGACGGTTATTTCGATAACCTAATCAAATTTCTAGATGATGCGGTGAGGTAGAATTTCATGTCTTTGAGTCAGAGGAAACTTTTCATTTCTTTCTTTGTTGATGAGCTTTTAGACAAAATAGAGTTTGCTAAAGCTTTCCCGGGTCCTGGGGCTAGTTATGCCAACTTTGTAAATCCTGAAAGATTAGACTTAGAATTGCATCTCTAACATTTCCTTTGTAATCCAAGTTGCATTCATGTTGAAATCATTTCGTCCACGAACATTACGAGTTAGCCATAATTATCAATCTAAACTGCATGGTCAGTGTAGCTACATTTTTTTCATTCTTCGGTCTTTCACTGTTGGTGTTACTATTTTACGTCTTGTTTTGTATTATCACCACGTCGCGATCTTTCACGTCAAACAAGTCAATCGATTTGTCTTGTCAGCATCACTATATTTCATTTAGTCAATTCAGACTACATCGATGTTTTCGACGATAAACAGTTACGTCTTTAGTTGCTTCATAACAAGGCATCAGTTCCTTCAACAAGGTTGAGCGGTCTATAGCTTCTAACAAGCAGGTTATTCGAATTTGACCAAATAAGTCGTCCATTCATAGTAAAGGGTGGCGATTATTGATCGTCAGTTTGTTCAAGTTTTTTTAAAAGGGATTTGTGAGTATCCAAACCGTAAGTCAATCTTAGAGAATACAATGGATTCTCTAAGCTGATCAAATAAGTCATGATACGAGGTAAAGGATAACGAATTGTTCAACTGACAGTAGTTGATATAGAGTTTCATTTTAAATGAGTCAGTGAATCGAAATGCTAATAATCTAGTATTTACATGCATAACATTTTAAAAACATTGAAAAATAAAACACCCATTCATAATAGTTTAAAATAAATATAAATTATTTAGAGTAAAGTAATCCAAACATTTGCGAAAGCCTTATATTCAGCATTCAAGACAACTTAATACTTTGAATAATAAATAAACGTAATATCGAAATAATATAATAAGAGCTTCATGTTCGAATAAAGTTTTACATTGACGCATTGCTAATGCCAATGTTTATTCTATCTAGGTTTGATATTTATTAACTCCCATTAACATAGAACAAATTGAGAAGATTCAAAGGCAATGACAAGAGTTCTTTGAGGGAACACAAAAGAACAAGAATAGACGATGGAGAATTCTACTTCCCTCGTGAAAGGTAGACCTGAAAGTTCTTCTGGGAAAGCATTGAGGAAGTTTCACACTATAGGGATCTCTTCCCTCCGAGGCGCCTCCTGTTAAATGTCATGAAATGTGCACAAGAAAGCTTCATACTTCTTGTGAATGAGTCGACGAGCTTGCATGTAAGAAATGAATTCGGGAGCTGTTGCTACTCTTTTAGGCTTGCATCCGAACGGTATGTGCTTCATAATTAATTACAGTTTTGTTGGCGGTACACCAACCCATGCCCAAGATAACGTTAAACTCAAGGTGTGGAAGTTCGAACAGACTTGTAGGGAAAGTCTTCCCATGCACGACTAATGGGCAATCATGATAGATGTATCTGAGGTGTAGACTGTGTCCCAACGGATTGAACACGATAAGCATACACAGATGTGACAGGGTGGAACCTGGGTCAAACATTCTTAATGATTTGAAATGTTGATTGAGTTATAACTCACTTATTAGATTCTTGCACGGTTGATGATTTTCTGTAGTCGTGGTTTCCTTTACGGAAGGTGCTAACTAATTGCATGATTTGAACAATGTTTTTGGAGAGATCATGTCGGGGTCAGTTCCCCGTATATGATGGGAAGCTATTAAGATCGAAGCATGTTCAACCATTCAGTTGGCTGTGTATGGTAAAAGAATGTTCATTTTGGGAGGGTTTGCATGAACGATGAATTGGTTACTGCCACAAGGTCTATCACCGGAGTGACGGATACTGTTGAGGACTTGTCGTACGGTCCAAAACAAATTAAAAATTTAAAAATAACCTTAGCTAACCCCCAAAATATAATCAAATAAAAACTATAGCTAGGGAAACTAAGGGTCGATCCCACGGAGAAAGTTTGTACTTTTGAAATCAAATTAGCATGCACACACATTGTCACTAAATAAAACAAACTAACTACTACACATATGATAAGACTTATAATAAAACTTATAACTTAATAAATATAATAACTTATAAATAACTTATATAAACAAAGAACTTATAATATAACTTATAAACTCATAACAAATACTAAAGTATATAAAAGTAAATAAAGTATAAAAACTTAAATTTCTAACTTATATACAAACACTTATAGATAAACTTAGTAAATAAAAACTTATACTAATATAACACAAAGGGGGGGTTGTTGGATAAAAAGTAAATATTTTTTGGTTTTTTATATTTTCTTATATTTTTGGTTTTTTTTAATAAAAATGGGGGAAACAAGCTCAAAAGATAAACTTCTCCAACTAAGGTAATCCAAGAAACACCGCCAAGAACCCAAAACAAAATGAAAAAGAGAACAAACACAAATTGAACATTACACATATAATAGGTACTTAGACAATATATTACGTAACTTACGCACTTAAAAATAGAAAAGAATTCAAAGGCTCGAGTTGATTCATATCCTTGACCACATATAGAGGATCGTCAACTCTCTATAAGGCCCAGAGTCAAAGAATGCAAAGGCCTTTTGGATCACTTTGAACCCCCACCCACCTCAAGCGCTCAAACAATGATTCAAAAAGATGAAAAAAGTTTATAAAAGAGTGAATATTTCTTTCATTCTAACTCCCATGCATAAATTATCCACGAAGAACATTTATACACTTTAATAAACTTTAACGTCTAATGATGAAAATATTTTGCAGGTCTCCTTGAACAACTTAAGCATAAGAATTTTTGTCTATTCACATAAAAAAACATTAGATATTTTCAAAAACTTAAAAATTGTTTTTGTGCGTAAACAACCTTAAATTTATGAAAATCAACGAACAAACACACGACAAAACAATCACTCAATAATGAATCTTAAGGAAAACGTCCAACTTATGGAGCTAAGAAGTTCATAATCCTTAAAATTTTACAAAACACATAGCACAACGAAGAATCACGTATGAATTCGGAAATCATTTAACTATAATATGGAGCTAAAATAGCTTCAACGAAAACAAAATTCGACATACCAACCTACTTATGAAATCAAACCGTGCGATTCAACCAATTCAACAACAATTTGCACAATAATTGTAGAAAACTAATATGAATCAATTCTCATTCATAAGGGATTTAAAATAAACATAAAAAAACCCATAAAAGAACACCTACCATTGTTAAGAATTTCTTAAACAAACACAAACAAGCAAAAAATGTAAAATTAAATTGAAAACAACACTTTACAAAGAATTGGAGAAGAAAAAGAAGTTGACAAATATAGGGTTACAAATTTGTTGAAGAAGACGATGAAAATTGAAGTATTGGAGCTGAAGGAACCGCCGACCATCATCGTCGGAGCTATTGCCGCCGCCGCCGCCGCCTGCCGCCACCATTGCAGCGGCTTGGGCGTCGCGTTTTTATTCCCCTTTTTGTTTTGTTTTATTGATTGACCAAGAATGGTTTGAGCTAAGTACTTTTTGATAATGGATTTTGGCTCCGACCCAAGCTCAATCTCTTCTTTCCAAACATGAACTTTAATTTGGCCTTTCGCTGCACTTTTCTCGAAAAAATAAGATATCTAATAATTTGGGTTAGGGAAAATAAAATAAAAATAATAAACTGTAAAAAATGAGCAAAAAACTATGATATATGTAAGAAAAATAAAAAGAGTGTAAAAATAAGAATTTAAATAAAAATAAGTTAAACAATTAAAAATCAAACACTAAAAATAAAAAAATGCATAAAAAAGAATAAAAAGAACAAACCCAAGCTCAACTTATCACATACGATACGAAATAAGATGATGTGGTTGCCGTAGTATAGCTGCTTCATGCTATCTTGTCATCTTGCAAGTGTGGTAGACAATCGGATGTTACTCAGAGGTTGATCGTGAGCTTGTCGGTATTCCCTACTCGGGTTGATCTGACGTATTCGGTGGGTTTCTCAAAACCACACTTACTTCATTTACGAAGTTTACAAAGACATAATGAATTAAGTAGTTCTTGATTGAGTTTATTCAAGAAGATTCGGCTCAAACAAGTTTGGACAAAGGATTTTATATTGTTCAAAACCTCAGTTGTGCCACAGTTACCAAGTAACCCTTTAGTCTAGTCGGGCTGAGTCCACTGGAGGAGTATCTACACCTCCACCGCAGATACTATTAGCAGAGTCTACACTGAACATTTCCTCTGGACCATCTCTTTCTTATGCTGCCTTCCGCCGCTTCCAGATCCTTAGTCTCGCTATCCATGCCTTGCGATGTGCACGTTGGTAGCGCTCTTTGGAGTCGTATCCCTTTATCTTTTTCTTTCGTCTCTTATCGAGCACGAAAGTCTGGTTGGAGTCAACGCTTGACACGCTTTTGGTACTAACAGTACTAATCTAACAATTGTGTAATATAGAAATTTTAACAAAATAATAATAACTTAAATGATAACTGTTTACCTTCCCGGGTAGAGATGTGATGGGAGATGCGACAGTGGATTTTGAAAAATTCCTTCAAATTGGGTTTCCTAAATAGTTTTTAAAACTAAATGCTCCGATACCAAATTGTAACACCCCCGACTCGCCGGACCCGATCCGCCGTTACCCGACGCGTCGGAGAGGTCATAGAGATGGTATTTAGAGAATCATCCAAAGAAACATTTTCTTAATTCTTTTAAATAAAACCTTGGTCATATTTATGTAAATAAAATCCTTGGGGAAATTAGCCCCTAAAAACGTACAGAGTAAAATAACCAGTCCAAACGCAGAAGCAAAACAAAGTCAAGTTCATGAAAATAAATACGACAAGTGTGGGTTCAAGCCCAAATGATTTAAGTAATAATTAAAGGAAAAGGGGATAAAATCTGCATCCATCGTCCATACATCTCCTCAGTCTCGTTGCCCTTTGGGATAGGTTCTAAGTTCATCGTGCCTACTCGCGTATAGCAAAACAATAATATACGCTCAGCATAAGCTAAGTGGTAACTCTAACAAGAGAATAAATAGTGATAAACCATATAGGCACAAACATAATCATGCATGTACTGAACATACGTGTAACACAAGATGAATTAACCAAATGACTATATGATTGCATGATGATTGAGTAAGACTATGCATGGACCCCATGCGCTCCGACGTCATCCCACAACGGCGACGACTCGGGCAAACCTTAGTCTCCTGACAGGACTAGAAGTGATGGGTGGTAACTGAATCCTAGTTACCACGTAGATACACAAGCCCTTCGCATGAAACCTGTTGGCCCCGAAAGCACCTGGACAGGCTCGTGCTAAGAGGCGCACTAGGCCTGAACCCTTAGGCGGTATGACATGACTTGAATGGATTCCTACAACACGCGTCTATAACATGCGTGATGATATGAAAGTATATACAAAACTTTGGAAATAACCAAGAATATATCATTCATAGTAAGCATACAATAATGGATTATGGAAAGCCACACTTAAATAAACATTTTGGGTCTTAACCAAAATAATCCTACAACCGGTCACGGTCGACCATTTTGTACAACGGTCCACCGTTCGGTTCCCACGTTTTGGTCTTAGATTCCAAAGGTTCACTGTACCCTAGACCACCGTGTCTAAACATGGACGGCTGAGGTGGTGAACCGCAGAAGAGCTAAATGGTCCACTGACCCACCGACGGTCGACCGGGCAGATGCCTAGACACCGTGAATGGTCGACCGTCCTGATGGCAACAACAAGCAGTGGTACATTCCCACAACTATTTTATATCCTTTTTGTCTAATTTTTATTAAATTATGAACATGTATGATAAAACGTATATTTCCTAAGGCTCATTGATAGATTTTAACCAAATTCGTGGGTATATGGATAGGAGAATATGATTAACGAACCTTGGATTACATCGTAGATTACGAACAAATAATCCTATGAACGTAACTATATCGAATATAACTATGAATTCTAATGCTAGAAGAGCAACGTACTCACCTCTAGAACATACAGTTGGTGGATGAAGACGGTATAAACGGTGGTCATGTCTCACGAATGCACAACGGACAAACTTCCTCCGTCTTCTTCTCTTCTTCCTCTTCCGGTGGTCCTCCTCCTTCGTCTGCTGCTGGTTTGCCAAGAGAGAGGGGAGTGTGATGTGAGTTAATGGGTGAAAGAATCAAAGTGTGAAGGGGAGGGGAACGAGAGTGTATGTATTAAATATAGATGGTGGAGATTTCTAGGCAAAGAGAGGGGGAGTGAACCATGGGTTAATGGGGAGGAATGGGTGACAACTCATATGTCACTCCGTAAATTAAAAAAACTGACCTGAACTGTACGTGTTTTCCGCCTGAACTGGTCTGAATCGAGATCCGTTTGCGTTTTTGGAATCAGACAGTCAAAACTAGTATTATGATGTGATCAAATAATTTTTTTCTCAAAACTTTATTTTTTCCAACTCCGGTTTATATCAATAATTATATAATTAAATTAATTAATTCTAATAGGCCGGGTTTCAGGGTATTACACACGCCCACTCTCATGTTTCTGAATCATATATTATCAACCTTGGTCAAGAGAGAGCTTCTCTTACTCAGTTTTTGTTACAAAATAATTAGTCTTTCCATAATGGAATGGGGTGATGCCCAATGAGGGATAGATGAATTGACACTTTTCCTTTTCTCTACACGATAATCAGCAAGTCAAAATGGGGGACTAGGACGGGGGCAAGGCCGTAATACGGATTGCAAGCATGGAAGTTTCCAGTACCATTGGAAGTTCAAAAAAATTTGACTTTGAGAACACTTTGATCTCCTCGAGGCAATAAATATCATCAGTTAGTTATGCACCCACGAGGCCTGCGCGCCAAAAAAGTAGCGAGACTTGAGGAAGAAGCTTCCCCCATTTATAAATGCTACCCTTCTAGCATTGTGGAAGGACACAACTGATTTAAAACAAGACAATTCATTCAATATTTACGGAATTCACACACACACACACTCTCTCTCTCTCTCTTTCTCTCTCTCTCTCTAGACCTCTTATAGGTCTACGATGATCCTTCACCCCGGGGTACCCGGGATCCCTCATAATGTATGGAAAATTATTATGTCCATTTGTATATGAATGTGAAAAGTAGTTAAGCCAATCAATACTAGCACATTAATAATGCGTAGAGAGAAGTTAAACTAATGGAGTAGTTGTGATAGAACTTTTCACTAGCAAAATTAACTAGCAAATTTAATAGTTCAACTAGGAAAAATTACTATTATTAAAACTCTTTTGTCAGAAATTTCCTGCCTACCCCATCTCCTTGCCCGGGATCTCTGTAGCGCCCAAAAACCTGGCTTAGTATATTTCATTAATTTATAAAATTAATTAATTAATAATTTAGTCAGTACAAAGATTATTTTCTAATTTTGTTTTTAATATGAGGGTTTATCTTACGTTGTAGACTCTCTGTTTTTAATATCAGACTTATTGGGCCCAAGATACGACTAACGAATAAGATAATTGAGCTTATACTCACTCATAATAGGCTAGGAAGTGTAAGTTGGACCCTAAACCTATTTAGTTATATATAAAACGTGCCAAGGTCTCTTACGCAAATCACGACACACGACCTCCCTCGTTTGGCCGTTCTTCCTTCGACTTTGTCTGCCCGTTCGTTCCACTATGTCTGTTCTGTTCGCTGACCGGAAACATCACCAAGCCTCACCGTCGATCATTGTCACCCTCTTCATCCTCCCTCCGTTGTCACGCGTCAGTTGGTCCAAGCCATGGGCTGCATCGGCGGTTCTCCCTCTTCTGTCAAGCTTTAATTTCTTCAATTTTCAAGGTGAGTCGTGGTTTCTATACCTATCGTTAGCATTAATTCATGGATTAGGAATTCATTAGCATATAATCTTGCAATTTGATTGTGAATTGGGTTGTTTGTGATTGAATTAGATGAAATGGTTGTTTGGGGTCGTTTTCCGCCACCTTCTCCAGCGACCCGCCGGTGATGACAGCGGCGAACTTGCCTGGGTGCTAGGCAATTCTTGTATTGGCTTAATTGGATTCAATTGGCACCAATTGGGTCTAATTAGGTTCAATTGGGTCCAAACGGGTCCAATTGGGTTCAATTGGGCTAGTTGGATTTATTTGGTACAATTGGGACTGGTTGGATTTTATTTGGGTTGATTAAGGGACTCTTTGGGTATCTGTGAACCACAAAACAGGGCTGATTGGTTGGGTTTTGGGTTCAGGTCGGCTACCTGTAGGGGTTCTGGGGTTGGTGGTGTAATGCCCCAAAACATACCCTAAAAGTATTAATGAATAATTATTCAATCAATCAATTTGTTTTTATTAAAATAAATTGTTTTTGGGCTTTGAGCCAAAATAAAATATGTTTTGATAACCAATCACACAATCTGGATAAGTCTCATAGAGATAAATCCAATATGTTGACTTATTATGTGATCTTAATTGAGAACCTGAGTATATACCCAAATTAAGAGTAAATGAAGAAATTTCTTATGATGTGAACTTGAAAGGGTTTATTGAAATAAAACATGAGAATAAATAATATGTATTGAATATAAGAACCTTTATGAGTAAAGTTCAATTAAACTAATTTTGACTCTGTCAAAGTCAAACACCCAAAAATATGATGTCGGAAAAAGTATTACAAATAATTATGAAAATTATATCGTTGGATAGAGTTTGATTGTCTGATTGCAATGGTGCAAACTGAATAGAGTTTGACTGTCTGGACCAAAAAATGTACCCTGACTGGAACCAAAATTGGTCCCAATCAGGGACGGCACCACCCAGCGCACTAGCCGATTGTACAGCCGATTGTACACCTGTGATAATAGATTATCTCCCTACTCTGCTGAAGAAAATGAAGTCAGCAGCTATGAATCGATTTTCCTATCATACATTAATCGATTGTTTTTGAGAAAACATGATTTTTGAACTATGGAATCCTATTTTTGATACCAATCAATTATGATTAATATAAAGATGATTTCTTGAAATAAAAATGATGTTTTGACAACTAAGAGGACCTTACATGATGCATGACGGTAAGCTAGGGTGCTAGCACTCGACGCTAGGGCGCTAATTGCTATTGAATATTATGATGATTATTGTTATGGATGACTATGATATATCGATGATGAACCTACTGATTAAAATGATTTTTGTGAATGATTTAAACTATGGTTTGAAATGAATACATCGATGATTATGAAATGATTTGGATTGTAAGGGTATCTAGAAGAACTCTAAGATATACCCATTTAAGTTAGGCCTTGCGGGTATGATGCTCGGTGGCTAGGGTTAGAACATACGTACGGGATCCAAGAACCAAACTTGAGTACCTACTCGTTTGGGGATACCACTCAACCCAACAGTGAACACTGTGTTGTCGGTTTCTGGTTGGCCATAAGCGAAGGTAAGTTTGAGATATTGAAAACCTCTTTTATCTTAAACTAGGCCTAGCTCAAGGATTATTTAGGAATACCTTAAACTGGAATATAGTTTAATTATCATAAACTAGAATTCGTTTAAGGGTTGATAAACATTAAAGAGAATGGCCTTAGACAAAGAGTAGTTTAAGGATATTGTTGAATGTTGAATATGAAAGATGAATATGGATGTTGAATGTTCAATATTAAAGATGAATATGAATGTTGAATGATGAATACTGAATATTGATTATTGAATATCTAAACTAAATATTATGTGCATGATTGATTTGATTATGAATTGAGATTTAATTTATATAGATGTTTGACGCATTAGATATGCTTACCCAGCTTCAACGCTGAGCGTGTAGTGTGTTTTATTTGCTACACGCAGGTTAATAGAAAGAATGATGTGACATGATTCTAGAAGCAGACGGAGGTGAGATTATCGGAATGGATGTGATGGTTTTGAATTACATAAATAAATTATGTTTGTGATTTTTGATTTGTTAAGCTCCCGCATTATTGAAAACTTCGTACTGTTTATGTTATAAAAATATTATTGTGATAAATAATAGTGTTTGAAATGTTTTAAATTTTTACGATTACCATGTTAATACTTTAGTTCGAAAGGAGTTGCAGACCTAGACAGATTAGGGTGTTACAGTTTGGTATCAGAGCAAATGGTTTTAAAACCGATCTTCAGATCAAAATTTGATTTAAAAAAATTGTCAATCACATCCACGACTCTTGCATCTCTCTGACTGTTAGATAACAATTGTTAGTACAAAAACTATATCGAGCTAGACTCAAGTCGAACTTTCGTACTCGGTGAAGAGACGAAAGAATAAACGAAAAATATATGATCCTCTGATATGTTATCAACGTACGTATCGCATCGCGAATGACAAAACTCATTTGCATCGTAAAGTCGCACGGATGTGAGACGACTATGAAGAAATGATTAATGTTGAATAACATCTTTGAAGCCAATGTCAAAGATCCTCATGTTGACTCAAGACGATTTGATTGCTGATTCAAACACGAACATTTAGAATCAATAAACTTTGTTATCTAAAGTATCCCATTCTGATGTCAAACTCATTACGACACAATATGCAATTATGTCATATGAATCGAAATCGTTTGTTAAGCAATGATTCCTTGCAAAACCTCATTGAAATACCATACAAGGAAACTGATAATTATCCTTAGTATGCATTGGCTGACTGAACGACGTTGTTGTTGACAACTCTTGACGAAGACTTCTTCAACTGAAGGCCGATGATAGTAACCGTATAGAGGTGAAAGCAAAGCTGATTGCTAATGTAACACCCTAATCCGTCCAGGTCTGCAGCCCCTTTCGGACTAAAGTATTAACTTGGTAATCGTAAAATTTAAAACTTTTTGTTAATTTATTTGGGTTGGCCCAAACATATTAATAATGTTTGACACCCAACCCAGCAGCCCATTTACTCAAGCCCAATCTATACTCCTTAACCTAATTAAGCTTGCCTTAATTACCACCCTAATCTCCACTATAAATTGAGGCTTCCACCTTGAGTTATTTCATTGTGCAAAACTCCTTTCTCTCTTTGTGAGACTTCCGTGTGGGTTTCTTTCTTCCTTTGTGAGTTGATCTCAGTTCTTCTCCGTTTCTTTGTGGGTGGAGTGTGGCGAGGTTGGGTTGGGGTGTTGCTCCTTTTGGTACCCTTGTAGTGCACAATTACGGACCGAATTTTACGGGTGACCTGAGCCTAATCGGAATAAATAAATACACACAACAGTGGTATCGGAGCCTGGTTTGTGCTCAGTATTTATTTATTTTTCCGTGAGGTGTTCTTTTCCACTTTTTCGGTACTGTTCATTGGTAGGGAGGGTTTTCTTTTTCTCTTATTTTGATTCCTTCGGTCAAAGTTTCAAAGCCCAATTTGTGAGTTCCTTCCCTGGTTTCTTTTTCCTTTTTCGGACCATCCGTGTCCTTCCGCCTGAAGAGCCCCTGTTCTCCTGCGTAGAAAAAAAAGGGGACAAGGACGAGTGGCAGAGCCGAAGTCGCACAAATTGCTTCGTGCAATTGAAGGCAGTCCGCAACCGGCGATTCCAGCAGAATTCCGTTGAAGGAATCAGAAGCTCCGACGTCTAGGAGCAGGCTTCGACCCTCGCTGACAGAACCGAATTGCTGCCAAAATTCCTCCGTGGAGTAGGTAAGTCGAATCTAGGCATTAGATTCGCCCAGGTACACAACTCTTTATCCCTTTGCTTTCGTAGCTTTTTTT